ACCCACCTGAGGCTTTGGGAATGATGAAAAGGCGAGAGTAAAGCCCACGTCCCCATTGAGACAGGGGAACAGGTTGAATAGCCCTGATTTCAAGAAGGTGCTGAATGGCCTGATTCATGAGGGCTTGCCTGGAAATGTCCTGAGACACAGGACAGATCAAAAAATTTTTGCGGGGTGGGGTTAGGAAGTCCAATTGTAACCCTGACCTAATAGTGCTGAGCACCCAGGCATCCATCGTTGACTCCTCCCATTTGGAGGCAAAGAAGGCTAGGCGACCTCTGATGGGTGGGGAAAATGAGGGATTACTTAGAGCAACGGAAGGAACGACCCCCTCCCCCCCAAAAGGGCCGTTTACCAGTAGAAGGTTGTTGCCTGCCAGATGTTTCCGCCCGTTGGTCTTGGCGTTGGGAGTATAGCCTGTGAGAGCGGGGGAAGCGAGATGAGGTCTCCGCTCGGAAGGCAGGAGGGCGATAAGGAGCAGGGCGATAGTCGGCTTTTTTCCCAGAGGAAGAGAGAATTTTACGTTTATCTCTGGTTTTGATGAGATAAGGTTCCAGAGCATCGCCAAAAAGCTTATCACCTGCGAAAGGAACTGAAGCCAGCTTCCATTTTCGGCGTGACTCCGCCTGCCAATTTCGGAGCCATAAAAGTCTTCTTGCTGCTACAGAAGATGCCAAGGCCTTGGATGCAAATTTGGCGGAATTGAGAGTGGCATCCGCAGTGAATTCCGCCGCTGCTATAATCTTATTAAGGTCTTGGTGAGACCGAAGGTCAGAAGCAGGCAATCTATTCTGGAGTTGGTGCAGCCAACATATGGATGCCCTGGTGAAGAAGGATGCTGCTGTTGAAGCCCGAACAGCCCAAGCAGCAGCCTGGTGATTGCGCTTGAGGGTCTGTTCGGAACGTTTATCATCCGGTTTCAGGATATCTTCTGGCTCCGTGGGAGTGCCAGAAGATGAGAACGAGGCCAGAACCGGAATGTCAACAGAAGGCACTGCCAGGGCATTGTCCAGAGCTGCGCTGACATTGTAGAAACGCTTATCTAGAGAAGATGGGCGAGGACCTCCCGAAGGAGAAGCGTATTGTTCCTTGACCATGTCCAGGAACAAAATGGGAGAAGGCAAAACCTCTGCATGCACTACAGGCTTGGAGAAGAGCAAATCCCCTTGGCTAGAGGGATTTCCTTGTGGCTCAGGAGCCACTTCCTCTGGTGACAGCTTGGCAGTGACCAAGGCCTTGCTGAGTAATGGTCTGAGGAGAGTAGGTTTGAAGACCAATGCAGAGGATGTCTGCTCTGGGCGAGAATCCTCTTCCTCTGAAAGATTTTGGTCAAAAATCTCACCCTCTTCACACTCTGAGAGGAGTAACTGTGTTCAGATGGTGAAGGCCTTCCTTCCTCATCAACCTCCTCCCATTCTGGTAGAGAAGAATGGACCCTGAGGTCCTGAGGCCAGTGTAAATCAGGATGATGAGGCAAGGAACTTATAGATTGAGAAGGGAGAAGGGCCTGAACCCTTTCCAGAGGTTGAAGAATTTGCTTGAAGCCTTCAGCCAATCCCTGCCTAATGGCTGATGAGACTACATCTTGGATATCCCTTGGTCTATGCTCAAAGGTAGAGGCAGAAGGCCAAAGGCCTGCTGCTGTGGGAGTGAAGGTGGCTTCAGGCCTAGATTGAGGAGAGGTTCGAGGCCTGGAGGGAGGGGGAGGAGCATAGGGCACAGAAGCCTGTTGGAAATAAGGCCCAGATCTGCTTAAATCCTGAGGATCTGACTACAGCAAGAGCCTCAAGAGACCAGGATGGAGGATGGAAAGGCTCATAGATAACTTCTCCTCCCCTGGGAGGGCTTAGTTGGGGCCCACGAGTATCACCTGAAACATACTGTAGTTGCACTCCCTTCTGTTGAATAGTTCTGTTGAACTGCCTCTCTAGAGCTGCATGTCTGCACTTCTCTGCCCTCAATTCAGCCTGAGTTGCCTTCTTAGGGGCTAGAGCCTTAGCTTTGATTTTAGCAGCCACCTCCCTCTGGACTGATTGGGTGCATTGCCTACGTCTTTTTCTCCTATTGGGCTTAAGAGACTATTCCACTGGGGGGGAAAGCTCTGCCAGAGCCTTATCTTGCTCGATTTGTAAAATAAAGGCTCTTGCATTGGAAAGAAGCTGTTTAGAAATTTTTCTATTAAGCCCCTTAGGGTATAAACGGCCCCTGGGCTTACAAAATGGCCACTCACCTCGTGGTGGAAGGCTTGAATCCAAGATGGCCGCTGACTACAGGAAAACAGGCTCCAAGATTGAAGAATCGCTCCTTAGGCTATACAGAGCCCCGAGCAAAGTCAGCAAGGGAAAAACACAGCAACCAGCTACACGATCAGCTGGCTTGAGCTCTTATCAGTTTGCCGATCGTGTTTACAATCCCTCCAAACTGCAGGCGTGGGGGAGGTCTGCAGACGCTGCCCAGCTTGCCTGCACAGAGCTCTGTAAAGCTGCTCCCAACGTTGCAGGACAGTAAAAAAATAATAATCCAGGAATTTACTGACAAATCTGCTGATTTTAATAACTGGTAACATCCTGGAAAACAAATCTGTGAACACCTAGAAGCAAACAAAATAATAACCAGTAGCCAACATGGGTTGAACAAGAACAGATCCTGCCAAACAAACCTTATTTCATTCTTTGACAAATTGACTAAATTAGTGGAGCAGTGAAATGCTGTGGACATTGTATACTTAGATTTCAGTAAAGCATTTGATAAAGTAGATCACAAGCTACTTCGGGGAAAGCTAGAAAAATGTGGGACAGACAGCACCACTACAAGATGGATTCCTAAGTGGCTGACAAATTGTACTCAACATGTAGTCCTCAATGGAACTACACCCACATGGAGGGAAGTAAGCAGTGGGGTATCCCCAGATTTAATTTTAGACCCAGCACTGACCAAAATCTTCATAAACTATCTAGACAAGGGAATAGAAGGGGAACTCATCACGTTTGCAAATGACACTAAACTGGCAGGAATTGCCAACATCCCAGAAGACAAGCTCAAGATCCAAAAAAAAGACTTGACAGACTTGAACAGTGGTCCCTATCTAACAATATGATATTACACAAAGCAAAGTTTTACACTTAGACAAGAAAAGCCAACTGCATAGGTATAAATTAGGTGAAACCTGGCTTAATGCCAGTAACTGTGAAAGGGATCTTGGAGTCCTAGCGGACAATCACTTAAATGTAATCCAACAGTGAGTGATAGCAGCCAAAATAACCAATACAATCCTAAACTGCATTAATAGAGATACAATTAAGATCATGTGAAGTTATAGTATTGCTTTACAAAACCTGAGTAAGACCACACTTGGAATACTGCATCCAATTCTAGTCCCTCCAGAGTGACTAGACTAGATACTCTGGAAAGGATGCAGAGAAGAGCAACAAAGATGAATAGGGGGCTGGAGGCTAAAACACATGAAGAATGGTTACAGGAATTGGGTATGTCTAGTCTAATGAAAAGAAGGACAAAGGGAGATATGATAGCAGTATTCCAATATTTGAGTGGATGCCATACAGAAGAGGGAGTCAAGTTGTCTTCCAAACAAAGCACCATAGACAGGATGAGGAACAACGGATGGAAACTAATGAAGGAGAGAAGCAACTTAGGGTCTCCTGCTTGATCAGGAGGTTGGACTCAAGATCATCAAGTCCCTTCCTGTTGTATATAAGTTCTTCAGGAGCAGCGTGACAGCTTGTTATGATATGTACAGAATAACCCTTGAGTAACAAGGATATGCACATGGAAAAGTTCATGAGAGTAGTTATGAATAATTATTCAGTCACACACAGATACACTAAATTGAGTTAAAGTTTACTTTAAGAAATAGCACAGTCCAATAAACGGTCCAGGTCATATACGTTTAACAGTCCAAATAATATCCAATTACAAAGTCTTCTTACCGGTTGCCTTTGTCATTTACAATAAACAAAGATATCAAAGTATAAGCACAACAGAGAACCTTAGATAGCAAAGAATGTCAGAGAGACAGAATGTCAGAGAGAGCAAGCCATGACCTCTAGCTCCCTCTTATGGCAATTTGCAATACAGTCAACCAATCGGAATCAATACAGTGATTTTTTTCTTAAAGCCACAAACATACATTGTTGGTTTATATATTGCCAACCCAACTAATTGGTGGACAGATTCCTAACACAGTTGATTGGCTGCCATGTCTTACAGCACACTATAAAAGGTGCGGTGTCAGACAGGCTCAGCTGTCGCCTGTCAGCCGCATTTGTTAGCCTGCGATTTGACTTTGGAAACCCTGTTAGCTTATAATAAAAGGGTTATCCTTAACGCCTGGTTGTCTCGGTTATTTCCCATGTTAAATTTAACACTTCTTGATCTTTTCAGATTAATTGATTGGTTCATCTTGAAAGCTGGATCCTTGAATTTGCTGTTGACTATAGTGTAGTGGTGAAGGCAGCAGGTTAGAGACAGAGAAACGCTCAGTTCCAGTCCCACCTGAAGGGCAAAAGCATCTGTTCAACTTTGGTCAGTCCACTCAGGTCTAGGAAGCAGGAAAAGGGGGGGGGGGGGAGAACCACTTCCAAAAACCGTTGCCAAGGAAACTGCAAGGCCAGTCATCAAGACTGACACAAAGGCATCTAAAACGGAGCTAGGTAGAGTCACCTTTCACTATTTCACGAAAAGGACCTGCTGTCATGTAAATTACTGAAAACATCTTCCAAATGCCAGAGTGGAGCCTGAACAAACGTGTTTTTCCACTTCAGGTCGCTAGATGGCGGTCAGGCAACTTCTTTGCTGAGAAAGTCATCCACACTTTAGTGCTTGAGCTTAAAAAAAAAGGAGATTTTCAACCATAGAGTATTGCAATGAAGCACAGGGGAACTTCCTCTTCCGGATGCGTCATGCGAGGAAGGTGGAATGCAGAGCGGCTTTTCTGATCTTCCCAGGATGGAAGCAGCGGCTGGCGGGTGAGTTGGGGGCAGCAGGTGGGAGGGGAGTCCGGGAGCAAGTCGGGCTGTTCGGTTCCCTCCACGGCCTGGAAGCAGAGAAGCAACTGGGCTGAAGCGTGTCAGCTGCAGGTTCCTTCCCTCCCCAGATCGGAGCCCGCTGGGGCTGCACGCTGTGAAACTGGTGGCTGCAATTCTCTGCTGGCGGGAAGATTTAAAAAGCCTGTTTCAAGTGAAGGTGGATCCTTTGGGAATGGCTCCCCTCCAGAGGTTGTGGGGGCTCCGTCACTGGAGGGTCTTCAGAGGAGATTGGACAGCCGTTTGTTCGGAATGGAATAGGGTCTCCTGTCTGAAAAGGGGATGGACCAGAAGATCTCCAAGGTCCCCCAAAACTCAATTATTCTGTAGTGGACCTGATGTTTTTCGGGCAACAAGATCGGATTGAGCTGCTTCTGGGTCTTTTCTGAATAAATGGGGTTGGGATAGCTTAGCCCAATACATTGCTTGGGGTTTTGGGTTTGAAATCCTCCCCGGGGGTTGAGCAATGTAGCCTTTTGCTCTTCTAAAGGTCCTGGGTTAACCCTATTATACCCTAAACGTCCTGTCCTTCTTAATCCCACCAACTGGAGCTAAAGGTATTTGTGAGTAGTCTTTCTCAACGGGCACAAAATCTCCACCTCTAAGAAGTTCAGGCATCTGCTGGGGGCAGTTGGGGCCGTTTCCTGCCTTTGTTAAGGTTTTTTTCCTTCCACTTTTCCTTGGGGAAATATAATAATCTGCCTCTTTTAACATTCCCCAAAATATTTCATTCTTCTGGGGCTTCCCACAAAATTAATACCAAAGATTAAAATCAATGACACAAGGGGAAGGCTCTCTCTCTCTCTTTCTCTCTTTCTCTCTTTCTTTCTTTCTCAGAAAGAACCCTTGGGAGTCTTGGCTACTCCTTTTATTTCTTCTTTTTAGAAATCCGGACTGGTTTATAAACGAGTGCCACCCGGGGCAGAGGATTCCCTTTGGGCACCACCCCTTCTCCTCTTACAACCCCTTGGCCAGCTGTGGTGGGGTGGGGAGACCCTCAAATGAGCAGCCGCCTGCCCCATGCATGCCTTTGCTGCGCTCTGGCGCTTGCTTGAGGAACATCTCCTGGTCCCTCCACAGCCGGCCAGGGGGTCATGAGAGGAGAAGGAGGGGGTGGAGGAAGGTCGCCTGAAGGGCAGCCTCCACCATGGCTGGTTCCTCAGCCAGCCCGAATTTCCAAACAGAAGAAATAAAAGGAGTTGGCGAAGAGCCCCAAGGAGAGCTAGCTGGCTTGGCCCAGCAACGACTTTCCAAGAGAGAGACAGAGACTGGGGGGGGGGAGAGAGAGAGCCATTGAGAGACACACAGAGAGAGATACACAGAGAGAGGGGAAGATAGAGAGAGGGAGGGAGAGAGGCAGAGATATACAAAAAGGGGGAGAGAGAGAGACATAGAGAAGTGTTTTGTGGCTGGGTAGGGGGTCATGTGACTGGGTGGAGTGAGTGATATCGAGCTTTTTGTTTTTTTTCCCCAGTGGGAAACGGTTCCATATGGCTCTTTTAGTGTTTAAGCTTGCAGACCCCTGGGCTAGTGGTTTCCTGTGAAAGTTTCCATGGCCTCAGAAGCCTGTTGACGCCTGAACTTCAGCCTTGCCATCTCAACAGATGAGCAATCATCAAATTGATCAGATTCCTGATTAACTTTAGCGCAGAAGGTTTGACTGTAACCACTCTGAGGTTTTTTTCAGGCTGGAAAGACATGGATTTTCTCCATATTGTGTGTGTGTTATTTCTCTCTGAAATCTCTCTCTCTCTCTATTGATGAACAACAATATATGATATATCACATCAGGTCATCGTTTATTTTATAAAATGAAAGCCAAAACAAAGAAGTCGTGTGTGGAAAATGTATGATTCAATAATTTGTAGAACCAGCAACAACGAGAAGTAATTCTTTTCTGTGTGACTTTCTCAGTCTCTTGCAGCGTTGTGGAGGAATTTTGGCCCATCTTTTTTACAATGTTGCTTCAGTCCATTGAGGTTTTTTATGCACAACTCTCTTGTGGTCCCGCCAATCGGGTTGAGGTCTGGACTTTGACTGCCATTGCAACACCTTGATCCTTTTCTTTTTTTAGCCATTCTGTTGTAGATTTCCTGATGTGTTTGCAACCATTGTCCTGTTGCATAATCCCATGTCAGCCTAGCTTTAGCGATTGGACAGATGGCCTCTCTTTTGACTAGAATACTTTGGTATACAGTTCATGGTCAACTCAATGATTGCAAGGTGTGCAGGTCTTGCGCCTGCAAAACAAGCCCAAATCATCACCTCTCGACCTCTATGTTGGCAGTTTGTATGAGATGCCTTGTGCTGATATGCTGTGTTTGGTTTTCGTCAAACGTATCACTGTGCATTATGGGCAAATATCTCCACTTTGGTGTTGTCTGTGACAAGGACAGTGTTCCAGAATCATGTGATTTGTTCAGGTGCAACTGTGCAAACCTCAGCCATGCTGCTATGACCTTTTTAGAGAGAAGAGACTTTGCCTTGTGTAGCCCTTCCAAACGAAGCATACTTGTTCAGTCTTTTTCTAATTGCAATTTCATGAATCTTAACATTTAGCATGGTAACTGAAGCCTGTAGAGTCTGAGATATAACTCTTTGTTTCTTAACAATTGATCAAGGGCACTTTATTAGCAGTAGTTGACTGGTACTTCACCTCATTAAGCTATGGAAGCACTGAGAAATTTCCTACTGGTGAGACAATTAAGCAGTAGTTGTGGTGCTCCATCACTTGGGGCTTTTCAGAAGAGGCGAGACAACCGCTTATCTGAAATGTTGTAGGGTCTCCTCAGTGGTGGGCTGCTGGGTGATCATGTGAGTGCCTGGGCGTGGCCAACTCGACATCACTCACCACGACTGGCCCCGCCTCCAGCCTTAACAAGATACAATATTTATTTAGTACTACTGAACATCACTTAACAGTGGCAAGGAAAATCACAAAACGGAGCAAAACTCACTTAAATCTTGCTTAGCAATGGAAATTTTGGCTCAGTTGTGGACATAAATCAAGGACTACCCCTAATGAGAATGTAGGATAAGAAGCCTACTTTGCTCACTCCTTTTGGGTCACTTTCAAGAAACATTTCAAGATGACAGATTTTGGGTGCAGGTAGTGGTGGTGTTGCCGAAGCTGGTGTTGGTTTGTGGGGCAGCCGTGCTCGGCCGAGGGCTGCCAGAAGGAGGTGGGGAATCTGAACAACGGCAGCGCTCCTGGCGAGAAGGTCCTTTGGTAGCTTCTCACACGAGGAGGCGGGTGCTACCTGGCTGCCTTGGGAGCGAGGCGGAATAAAGAGGCCCACCGGCAGGCCAAATTTTCGCTCCCTCACTTGCTTTGCTGTGCTGGCTCTTCTTTTGCAAGCTGCCTTTTTTCTCTTACCAGCGTCCCTCATCCCAGAAGCACTCTCCTCTCTGCTAGCATCCACCCCCTTCTTCCTCTCCCTCCCCACTGCTCCACGGCTGCACTTTTTATAAAGGACTTTTAATGAAACTCCAATGTAATGGCCAAGATACAATCCTGAGCCAAAAAATCCTCAGCTCTCCCCTCCGCACCTGGCACGTCTTCTTCATCTCACTAAATTGGGCCAAGAGCCTTAGGGAGGATGAGAAATTTAACGGGTGGGGGGAATGACAGAGGGTGGGGGGAATGACAGAAAGGTAACAGAGCGAGGTCCGTGAAGTAAACTCAAGTTTCTTAACTTGGACTAGCAAAAGGTGGCGGAGGCAGCAGAGAATACAAAGGCCAACTGGAGCAATGAGGCAGCCTTGGCCATCCATGCTTCAAATGAAAAGTTTGCTTCAGGGAAAGGGGCGCAACCTGCTTTCTAAACCAGAAGATCCCGCTAAGCTCCAGATCCTGCAAAACAAGCCGTGGTGTTCAGTCCGTGCGTCCAGCTCCTGCCATTCTCAGCCTCCCCCGTGCCTCGCTTGCTTCCACCATGGATTCACTCCTGAACAACCACCTCTTTCTTCGTCCAAATGTACAAACAGAGCAAACACACACACATCTCACGGTGCTGGAGGGGCTCCCCCACACATTGTCTCCTCACAGAAGGTGCCAGTGCCATGACGTGTGCCTTTCTAAACCTCCCCCCCACCGCCCCACTTGCTTCCACCACAAACTCATCAGCTCGGCTCACTTACTTACCTCCATCCAAGTTCCCTTCCTTCAGAGGTACTCACTCTCCATGCTTCTTCCCCAACAACTGCCCCTTTCTTTGTCCAAACGTACACACAGAGGAAACATGCCCACATCTCACGGCAAACAGGTGTGAATCGGTAGCAGCCCACCTCTGGGTCTCCTGGTTGAGCAGGGTTTGGTTTAGAAGATGTCCAAGATCCTTTCAAATTCTATGACTCTTTTTTATTGTGATGATATTTTTACGTCCTGATAAGTAAAACCAAAGATATCAAAGAGGGAGTTCTTTCTTTTTCACTTCCCTGTATTTGAAAACAACCCTTTGCTCTTCTAAGAATTTGTGATTGACCCAGTCAACAAATGAATTTCTTCATTGAATGGATATTCGAACCTGGATCTGGGTAGCCTTCCATGTGTCAAATGAATCATGATTAATGTAAGAGCTTATTGGAGCATTGAGGCATGTTTGCTTTGTCATTGTAATGTAAACATTTTCTTTTTTTCTCATCTTCTGCAACCATTTTATGTACACTTAAAGATACCCTTTTATTTGAATCTTATAGACAAAGAGGATGGCAATAAGAGCGCTCTGGACAACTACGAATAATGAGCAACATTGAATAGCAAAGCAAGTCAGTCCAGAAATCAAAATATTTTCCATTTCCTTCGAAGAGCTACACAATTCTTCACCTTCCTCAGTAGGTGATAGAGAAACGAGAGAAAATCAAGAAGAGATTTTTAGCTGGGAAAAATATTGTGTAAAATTCAATCATATATTACATGAAAAGTCAAGGGAGATTATTTTTCCATTCAGCAAAAGAGGCAATATATTTGGAAGGTACTGGAAGGAAAAGCCATGTAGAGCATAGCTATGCCTGTTCTGGGAAATATTCAACTTGCAAATCACATCAGGTTATGCCTGAGAGCATCCAAACTGGAGAAGAACCTTACATATACTCTAAATATGGTAAAATCTCTGATCAGAACAGCTCGTGATACACCAGAGAATTCACACAGGAGAGAAACCATATGAATGTCCTGTTTGTGGGAAAAGTTTCAGTACCAATTCCAACCATATTAGCCACCAGATGATTCACACAGGAGAGAAATCCTTTGAATGTCCAGACTGTGGGAGAAGTTTCAGTCAAAATTCCAGCCTGGTGAGACACCAGAGGACTCACACAGGAGATAAACCGTTTGAATGTTCTGACTGTTGGAAAAGTTTCGCTAAAAATTCCAGCTTGGTTCAACACCAGAGAACACACACAGGAGAGAAACCCTTTGAGTGTCCTGACTGTGGGAAAAGTTTCAGTCAGAATTCCATCTTGATTCAACACCAGAGGATTCACACAGGAGAGAAACCCTTTAAGTGTCCTGACTGTGGGAAAAGTTTCAGTCAGAATTCCAGCCTGGTTAGTCACCAGAGAACTCACACAGGGGAGAAAGCCTTTGAATGTTCTGATTGTGGGAAGAGTTTCAGTAACAATTCCAACCTTGTGAGACACCAGAGAACTCACACAGGAGAGAAACCGTTTGAATGTCCTGATTGTGGGAAACGTTTCAGTCAGAATTGTCACCTTATTAATCACCAGAGGATTCATACAGGAGAGAAACCCTTTGAATGTCCTGATTGTGGGAGAAGATTCAGTCACTATTCCAGC